AACTGTGAAGACTAGACTACCATGAAAAACATTTAGAATATGATTGTTCAAAGGAAAAAAGGCATGTAGAAAACCATGTACTATATGATTACACCCGCATGAAAGCTTTCAGTATTTGAACAGAGCTTAGAAAGAAATGTAGAAAAATTCGGAGGGCTAAATTCTGCAGTGGCAGGTAATAATGATTTTTTTCTCTTTTTAACATTCCCATTTCTTTCTTTTTATTTATTAATTTATTTTTTGAGATGAAGTTTCACTCTTGTTGCCCAGACTGGAGTGCAATAGCATGTTCTCGGCTCATCGCAACTTCCATTTCCTGTGTTCAAGTGATCTCCTGCCTCAGCCTCCTGAGTAGCTGGGATTACAGGTGCATGCCACCACACCCAGCTAATTTTTGTATTTTTTGTAGAGACGGAGTTTCACCATGTTGGCCAGGCTGGTCTCACTCCCAACCTGATGTGATCTGCCAGCCTCGACCTCCCAAAGTACTGGGATTACAGGCATGAGCCACCACGTGCAGACTTTTGTTTTTGTTTTTTTGAGACGAAGTTTTGCTCTTGTTGCCCAGCCTGGGTTGCAATGGCATGATCTCGCCTCACCGCAATTTCCACCTCCCCAGTTCGAGCGATTCTCCTGCCTCAGCCTCCCGAGTAGCTGGGATTACAGGCATGCACCACCGCGCCTGGCTAGTTTTGTATTTTTAGTAGAGATAGGGTTTCTCCATGTTGGTCAGGCTAGTCTCGAACTCCCAACCTTGGGTCATCCACCCACCTCAGCCTCCCAAAGTGCTGGGATTACAGGTGTGAGCCACCACACTCAGCTCCCATTTCTCTTACAATTCTGCAATATTCAACCTCCCTACATTTCCAGAGTCTCTTCTAACTATCCCTGCCTTGAAACAACCTCTCCCCTCCTGAACTCCGAGCCTTAAGAAAACACCTTACAATTTGTACAGAGAACTCAATGTCTGCAAGCCTCCAGTCTTTTTGAGATGGAGTCTCACTCTGTTGCCAGGCTGGAATGCAGTAGCAGGATCTTGACTCACTGCAACCTCCACCTCCAGATTCAAGCAATTCTCCTGCTTCAGCCTCCCATGTAGCTGGGAATACAGGCGTGTGCCACCATACCCAGCTAATTTTTGCATTTTTAGTACAGACAGGGTTTCACCTTATTGGCCAGGATTGTCTCGATCTCTTCACCTTGTGATCTGCCTGCCTCAGCCTCCTAAAATGCTGGGATTACAGGCGTGAGCCCCCATGCCCAACCAAGCCTCCACTCTTAAGAGTTGCATGTGAGGTAAGCATTCAGGACCAGTCTTGGAAATCAGTACCTTTCTTCTTTTAATGAGCCAACAAGACTCACCCCTGCCGCAGATCACTTGAGGCCAGGAGCTTGAGACTAGCCTGGGCAACATGGAGAAATTGCATCTCTACTAAAAATACAAAAATTTGACAGGCGTGGTGGCACATGCCTGCAGTCCCAGCTACTTAGGAGGCTGAGGCATGAGAATCATTTGAACCTGGGAGGCAGAGGTTTTAGTGAGCCAAGATCACACCACTGCCCCCTGCACTCCAGCCTGAGCAACAGAGTGAGACCCTGTCTCAAACAAAAAAACAACAACAAAAAACGGACTCAACCTCACCCATCCTCCTATTAAGCACTAGAGAAGTCCTGCTCTTCTGGGTCATCTAGCATCACCACCACTTGTATACTGCTCTAAGCACACCCTAATCTGCCCCAAACACACACTCTTCCCAGCCCTCCCAAATTAACCATGGCCTCTGAAATTCCTACTCAAGGATCTAAAAACCAGCTGGGCACAGTCGCTCATGCCTATAATTGCAACATTTTGGGAGGCCAAGGCAAAGGAATCACTGAAGCCAGCCTGGACAATCTACCGAGACCCCATTTGTACAAAAAATACAAAAATTAGCTGAGCATGGTGCCATGGCCTATAGTCCCTGCTACTTGGAAGGAGTTCAAGGCCGTAGTGAGCTATGATTGTGACACTGTACTCTATCCAGCCTGGGCAACAGAGCGAGACCCCATTTCTAATGAGATAAATAATAACACCCCACTATATTTCTCATCATCTCCTCAGAATGATCTATTTGCCCCTGCATCTGCCTGGCCCTAGCTGTCCCCACGGCCCTCTCAAGCTGAGATGGCTTTAATGCTCATAGCCAGCTGTCCTCAGTACATACCTAAGGACAGGAGGTGGCTGGGTGTCATTATGCCCCTGCTGTCAAACCCTAGCTCCTCTGCAATCCTTGTCATCAGGCTAGCTTTCCCTGTTTTATCACCCTCCCTCATCCACTAAGACTTTACCTCCTAGTTCGTCAGCTCACTGCCCACGAACAGTCCTGTTATCATTCTTGTTTTTTTGTGGGTTTCTTGGTTTTGTTTTTTTTTTTTCGGTAGAGTCTCGCCCTGTTGCCCAGGTTGGAGTGCAATGGCGCAGGCTCGGTTCACCACAACCTCTGCGTCCTGCGTTCAAATGATTCTCCTGCCTCAGCCTCTCGAGTAGCTGGGATTACAGGTGCCTATCAACACACCCTGATAATCTTCATAGTTTTAGTAGAGATGGGGTTTTACCAAGTTGACCAGGCTGGTCTCGAACTCATGACCTCAGGTGATCCACCTGCCTTGGCCTCCCAAAGTGCTGGGACTACAGGTGTGAGCCACTGCGCCCAGCCTGTTCTTTTCTTGAAACAGGATCTGTTTCTGTCAGATAACAGTGAGCCAGGAGCACAGTGGTATGATCCTGGCTCACTAAAACCTCTGCCTCCAAGGCTCAAGTGATCCTTCCACCTCAGTCTCCTGAGTAGCTGGGATTACAGGTATGAGCCACCATGCCCAGCCTTTCTGATGTTTTAACACACAAAACTGCCCAGGCATGATGGCTCACGCCTGTAATCCCAACACTTTGGGAGGCTGAAGTGGGCAGACCACAAGGTCAGGATATCAAGACCATCCTGGCTAAGACAGTGCAACTCCATCTCTACTAAAAAAAAAAAATATGGCTGGGTGCAGTGGCTCATACCTGTAATCCCAGCACTTTGGGAGGCCAAGGCAGACGGATCACCTGAGGTTGGGAGTTCAAGACCAGCCTGACCAACATGGAGAAACCCCATCTCTAATAAAAATACAAAATTAGCAGGCATGGTAGTACATGCCTGTAATTCCAGCTACTTGGGATGCTGAGGCAGGAGAATCACTTGAACCCAGGAGGTGGAGGTTGCAGTGAACCAAGATTGCACCATTGCACTCCAGCCTGGGCAACAAAAGCGAAACTCCATCTTGAAAAAAAAAATACAAAAAATTAGCTGGTCGTGGTGGCACATGCCTGTAGTCCCAGCTATTCGGGAGGCCGAGGCAGGAGAATCACTTAAACACAGGAGGCAGAGGCTGCAGTTAACCAAGATGCACCACTGCACTCCACCCTGGGCAACAGAGCAAGACTCAACTAAAAAAAAAAAAAAAGAACAGTTCTGGGTGTTTGTAATATCATTGCCAGTTCCTGGAAAGCTCTTTCCAAAAGTCTTCATGTGACTGACCCCTTATCCTCCTTCAGGGCTTGGCTCAAATGCCTCCTTTTCAAAGAGCTCCTTCCTGACCACTTCATGCAACGTGGGTTCCTCTAGTTAGTCTCTCTTCATTCTGTTTCTTTCCTTCAGAGCGTTTATTATCATCTTGTGCCTGACGCTTGCTAGTTCACATGCATCAGCAACAAGATAATTCCTCTTGTTTGTTGTCTATCTCCCACGCAGAAAGCAAACCAGCCCTTCATCTGTCTTGTCCACCACTTTATCCCAGCACAGTGACTAACACATATCAGTAGTCAATCAATAAATATCTATAGGCCGGGCACAGTGGCTCACACCTGTAATCCCATACTTTGGGAGGCTGAGGCGGTGGATCATCTGAGGTCAGAAGCTCGAGACCAGCCTGGCCAACATGGTGAAACCCCATCTCTACTAAAACTACAAAAGTAAGTCAAACGTGGTGACGTATGCCTGTTGTCCCAGCTACTCAGGGGCCTAAGTCAGGAGACTCATTTAAACACAGAGGTGTCACCACGGCACTCCAGCCTGGGTGACAGAGCAAGACTCTGTCTCAAAAAAATAGTAAGTAATGCCCAGCACAGTGGTTCACGCCTGTAATCCCAGCTTTGGGAGGCAGAGACAGGTGGATTATGAGGTCAGGAGTTCAAGACTAGCCTGGCCAACATGGTGAAACCCCATCTCTACTAAAAATTCAAAATTTAGCTGGGTATGGTGGCACGTTCCTATAATCCCAGCTACCGGGGAGGCTGAGGCAGGAGAACTGCTTGAATCAGGACCCAGGAAGCAGACGTTGCAGTGAGCTGAGGCAGCGCCACTGCACTCTAGCCTGGGCTACAGAGCAAGACTCCATCTCAAAATAACAGTAATAATAATAAAAAGCCAGGTGCAGTGACTCACATCTGTAATCCCAGCACTTTGGGAGGCCAAGATGGGCGGATCATGAAGTCAAGAGATCCAGACCATTCTGGCTAATATGGTGAAATCCTGTCTCTACTAAAAATACAAAAATTACCTGGGCGTGGTGGCGTGCAGTTGTAATCCCAGCTACTCAGGAGGCTGAGGCAAGATAATCGCTTGAACCCGGGAGGCAGAGGTTGCAGTGAGCTGAAATCACACCACTGCACTCCAGTCTGGGCAACAGAGTGAGAGTCCGTCTCAAAATAATAATAATAATAATAATAAATCTGTAAATACTGCCACAAGAAATTCAATACTTTTTAATAAAAACCCAGATTCCTAATTAAAGAAAAGGGAAACATCTCTCTAAATAACTTCAGAATTCGGACAGAAAATGCTACCCGTGGAAACTCATCTTGAAAAACAGTCCTATTTGTGAACAGGAAACAGGAAATATTTGGACTACACTTTCTCCATCTCCATGAAGGACTTAAATGTGCAGCATTGACAAAGGGGCAGAGTTAGCCCTATCCTTACCATTTCTGCATATTCCATCTGCTCCTCCTCATGGTACAGCTCTGGGGGCAGGTTATAAATTCGCAAGATGTTATCAGCACTGTTGGTCAAGATGCAAGAACCATCAGGGGCCCTAGAAACAGGAGAGAGTTAGAAAGCTGGCCAGATCTACGCTTTTCAAGTGTAGGGCTAGGGCTGCACCTACCTCTGGGGTAGGTAAGCCCCCTGACTCCTTGAGGGAAGCAGAAGACACAAAGACAGAAAATGCTAGATAAAATTTAAGCTCAGGGCCAGGCATGGTGGTTCACACCTGTAATCTCAGCACTTTGGGAGGCTGAGGCTGGCGGATCACCTGAGGTCGGGAGTTCGAGACCAGCCTGACTAACATGGAGAAACCCCATCTCTACTAAAAATACAAAATTACCTGGGCATGGTGGCACATGCCTGCAATCCCAGTTACTTGTGAGGCTGAGGCAGGAGAATCGCTTGAACCCGAGAGGCTGTGGCTGTGGTGAGCAGAGATCACATCATTGCACTGCAGCCTGGGCAACAAGAGTGAAACTCTGTCTCCAAAAAAAAAAAAATCAGGCTGAGTGTAAAAAAGTTACGTGCCCCTTCTTCAGCTCTGGTGTTTCCTTCTCCTAGATAACTGGCATGTTTTACAGTGAAAATTCTGGGGGTGGTCAGATCCCTGCACCGTTATTATCCTTACCATTTACAGCCTTTCAAGAAGTTCTCAGGTTGAGTGCTGAACTCTGACCAGGAACCACTGAGAAATCGAGGCAGCTGGGAGAAGCTGTAGTTCCAAGCGCTAAAAGGAAGATGGAGGACAAAAACGTGGGTCGTTTCTGCAAATGGGGCAGGGGACTGGAGAAGCGGGTCTGAGGACCAGTGGATAGGTCGACCTCATCTCCCCGGACTCCACACTCAACTGCCATCACCACTTACGGGTCTCCCTCGTCATCTGCAGTGGGTTCCCCAGACGCATCTTCCATGGCTTTCCCAGACCCCAACCCTGGCCCGTTCACTTCTTCCTCAAAAAGGCTCCCGTTTGCTTCTTCTGCAGTAAGGCTTCCATTTTCAGAAAGTTCTTGCTTCTCGATTCGAGGACTCATTTCACTAGGAGGACCAAACTCTGTTTCCAGGGGAGTGGAGAGAGAAACTGGGTCCCCCTCCCCTGGCTCCTGGGACACAGCGGAGCCAGCCACGGGATATGGGGACAACCGGGGCGGATCGTCCCTTTCAGAAGGCGGTGGCATCAGTTCAGGGTCCGCATTTTTATCCATCGGGAAAGCGTGAGGAGAAGGATGAGCTGCAGCTGGGTCCTGGTCTGAAGGACAGCAGTCCGGAGCTAACGGTTGCGTCTCCAAAGTCTTCATACTGCAGACGGAGCACAGCGGACATCAACCTCAGTCGGGATGGCCTCGAAGTTCTCAGGAATCCGACTCAGAACTTAAAAACCCCACCTGTGCTTCCTTCCTCTTCTGGGAGGAGGCAGAAGACTCCAGGGAGGAGAGGCGAACAGCGGACGCCAACTTTGAAAGCACGGCGTTCCCTGGCACCGCGGGTCGCTAGGCGCTTCTCGCAGTCGCGGGATTTGGGCCCACCTTCCAAGTGGGCCGCCGCATCACGGATCAGATTTCGCGGGCGACCCTCGGAACCCTCAGAGCCGGGACGTGAAAGGTTAGACAGTTTCCCGTTCCCATCAAGCCTTAGGGCTCCTCGTAGCTGCTGGGAGTTGTAGTCCGAACGCTTCTGTCTTGGCGAGAAGCGCCTGCACTCCCCCTATCGGCTCCCGCGGTAATTTTTAAAGTACCTGTCCCACCCGCCGTCTGCAGAGGGCGCTGCAGGTCTTGCATCTCTTTTGCATCTCATTCTCCAGGCTCTAGACCTGTCTCTCTCCCTTCTTTCAAAAAATACTATCGAGCTCTTACTTGCTCCCCAGCACTGATACAGGCACTGGGAAATACAGCAATGAATAAGATGGGAGAAAAATTCTCATAAGGCTTACGTTTCCATGTACTGAAAGCAATGAACGAATAAATCTTTTCAGAGTGATAAGGGCTGTGAAGGAGATTAAACAAGATGGTGTGATATAAAGTATCTGGGAGAATACGTTAGCCTGAGGTATTAAGGAAAGCCTTCTTTTAAAATGACGTTTTTTAGCTGATGAAAAGAAAGGATCCAGCTGAGAGCAAACGCAAAACCTTTCTTTCTTCAACCCTTCATATTTAACCCAGTGCAGGAGTCCTCCAAAATGGTTTCCACTAATTTTGTCCTCACAGCTCTGGCTTGTAGAATTTTCCCACTCCAAAACATTAGTATCTACAGCACCACCATTTCGGCGAGAACCCTGACTCTCTCTGCACCTTCCTCCCCGACTCTATTTCCTTTACTTCTTCTGGCAGGCGGATTACTTGCCCTTACTTGTCATGGCGACTCTCCAGCTTTGTGCCAGGAGCCTCGCAAGGGTTGATGGGATTGGGATTTTCCCCTCCCATGTGCTCAGACTGGCGCTAAAAGTTTTGAGCGTCTCAAAAGTGTAGAGCCACCCTCCAGGGAGCAGGTAGCTGCTGGGCTCCAGGAACACTTGGCGTCTAGGCTCGGAGCGTGCTTTCGACAGTGACACACTTCCCTGAGGGCTGGGTAAGCTCCTAACTGAACCTGATGAATCCCCTTTGAGTCACGGACTCTGCTCCGTGTATTTTCAGCTCGGGAAAATCGCTGGGGCTGGGGGTGGGGCAGTGGGGACTTAGCGAGTTTGGAGGTGAATGGGATGGAAGCTTGGCTGGAGGGGTCAACATAGGAGTGCAGTGTTGGGAGACCTGAGTGTAGATGATGGCGATGTTAGGACCATCCGAACTCATAGTTGAACGCCTAGGCAGAGGAGTGGGGCTTTGGGGAACCTTGAGCCGGACTAAAAGGTACTTCCTTGCACATCCACCCGGTATTGGGCGTAGGGAATCCCTGAAATAAAAGATGCACAAACCATTGAGGTCGGAGACTTTTGGATCTCCAAATATTGAGAACTCATGGCTGTATGTTTTAGAACCCATGGCATCCTAGTGAAACCTCGGGCTCCATTCCGAAATTATCTTTGGGGGTGATCTGGGAACCCAAGCTGCTAAGGTCCCACAACTTCCGGACCTTTGTCCTTCCCGGAGCGATCTTTCCAGCCGGCCCCCGGCTCCGCCAGATGGAGAAAATCCAATTAAAGGCTGTCAGCCGTGGAAGTGAAAAGTGCTAAACGAGGGGTTCGTCCACCAGGCCAAGGAGGACCGTCCCAATCTGAGGGGCACGGCAGCCCTGTTATTGTTTGCCTCCACATTTACATTTCTGCCGCCTGTAGCAGCATTTCCGGTTTCTTCTGCCGGAGCAGCTCACTATTCACCAGATGAGAGGGGAGGAGAGAGAGAGAAAATGTCCTTTAGGGCGGTTCCTATTACTTGCAGAGAGAGGCTGCTATTCTCCGCCCCACTTTTTTTTTCTGGATTACTTGGTCATGGCCTTTGCAAAGGCTGGGGTATTTGTTTTGATGCAAACTTCAATCCCTCCCCTTCTTTGAATGCTGTGCTCCACCCCGCGCGTCGCCTACAACCTGGGCGGGCGCTACCATGGCATGAGACAGGGAGGGCAAGAAATGCGCAGAAGGCAAACCCGGGGTATTTTCAAGAATGGGTACATCTCATCTTCCTGAAGACAAAAAAAAAAAAAAAAATGGGTACATGTGAGAATGATATTTTGACACAGTACAATGATGGGTCATTTATAATTTCTCAGAAAAACAATCTACCTGTTATCTGGCTTTGGGCTAGGCCATTCCAGTTCCAGACGCAGGCTGAACGTCGTGAAGCGGAAGGGGCTGGCCCGCAGTCGTCCGTGTGGTCCTCTGTGCAGCCCTCCAGGCCCAGCCGGTTCTTCCCGGTGGGAGGCGGAACTCGAATTTATTTCTTCCGCTTCTCCATCTCTTAGCACGTGGTTGTTTCATTCTGCAGTTTCTTCCAATGCACCTGCCGCATACTGGGCATTTTGTGGCTTACTTAGGTCATCTTTTTCCTAAATCGAGGTGGCATTTACACACCGCGTAGTGCACAGACCAAGTGCACAGGAAGATGAGTTTTGGCCCCTAACCACTGCGTGATGCCTGCCAAGTCACAGACACTTTTCATCGTCCCAGAAACGTTTCATCACATCTCTTCCCAGTTGATTTCCGACCCCACCTTTATTTTTATCTCCATAACCATTTTGCCTGTTGGAGAACTTCATATAAAATGGAATCAGGCCAGGTGCAGTGGCTCACGCCAGCACTTTGGAAGACCAAAGCGGGCAGATCACTTGAGGCGTTCGAGACCAGCCTGGCCAACATGATGAAACCCCATCTCTACTAAAAAATACAAAAATTAGCTGGGGGTGGTGGCGGGCACTTGTAATCCCAGCTATTCAGGAGGCTGAGGCAGGAGAATCGCTTGAACTCGGGAGGCGGAGGTTACAGTGACCCAAGATCGTGCCACTGCACTCCAGCCTGGGGGACAAGAACGAAACTCCGTCTCAAAAAAAAAAAAAGGAATCATACATTATGTGCTCACATTTATTGGACTTCTTTACTTCAATGTACTGTCTGTGACATTCTTTCATGTTGCATATGTCAGTATTGTGCTCCTTTTCATTTAGTATAGCCCATGGATTGTGTATCCGTTCTTTTGATGGCCTTTTGAGTTGTTTCCCATTGGGGTTATTATAAAATAAAGCTGCTATAAATATTCTTGTACAATTCTTTTTGTGATCATATGTTTTCATGTTTCTTGGAGAAATAAGAGGGGAATTGCGAAGTTGGAAGTAAAAAGTAAATGTATTTTGAACTTTATAAGAAGTTCTGAGTTTTCCAGAGTGGTCGTACCATTTCACGCTCCAACTAGCAAGGTATGGTTGTTATTATGGTTGTTGCCTCAGCCTTCCAGATATTGGGGATTGTCAGTCTTTCTAATGTGGTATATCCCTGTGGTTATAATTTACAGTTCTCTGTTGACTAAGGACTTTCAGCATTTTTTATGTGCCTATTGGCCATTCATATTTTGTTTGTAAAGTGGCTCTTCAAATCCTTTGCCTGTTATTTTCATCTTTTGTCTGTTTTTATTGTTCAGTTGTGGGACTGCTTTATACATTCTGGATACAAGTCCTTTATCAGATACATGTGTCCTGACTGTTTCCTTCTGATCTGTTGTTTACCTATTTGTTTGCTTTACAGAGTTTACAGTATCTTTTTATGTTCAGTGTTTGCTCTGACCTGTTTAGGACATCTGTTTTTAACCCCAGGGTAATGAAGATATTATCTTATATTTTCTTTTAGGACACTTTTTTTTTTCTTTTTCCTTTTTTTTTTTTTTTTTTTTTTTTTTTTGTTGTTGTTGTACTTTAGGTTCTGGGGTACATGTGCAGATCATGCAGGATCTTTTAGGACCTTAATGGTTTTAGGTTTTACAATAAGGTCCTTGAGCCATTAATTAATTCTTAATTGTTTATGGTGTGAAATGTAAGAGTCAGTGCTTTGGATGTTTCCTGTCTGGATATCCAGTTATTCTAGCTCCACTTGTTGAAATAGGCTTGCTTTCTCTACTGAAATGCTTTTAATTTTTATTATTGGAGTATAGGGCTATCATTTTAGTGCTAATTTTTTTTCTTTTTTTTTTTTTTAAGACAGAGTCTTGCTCTGTTACCCAGGCTGGAGTACAGTGGCATGATCTTGGCACCCTGTAACCTCTGAATAGCTGGGATTACAAGTACATGCCACCATGCCACACCTGGCTACTTTTTGTATTTTTAGTAGAGACAGAATTTCACCATGTTGATCAGGCTGGTCTCAAACTCCTGTCCTCGTGATCTGCCCTCCTCAACCTCCCAAAGTGCTAGGGTTACAGGCATGAGCCACCGTGCTCAGCTATTTTTTTTTTTTTTTTTTTCTTTTTTAATTTTTGAGACCGGGACTGACACTGTTGCCCAGGCTACAGTGCAATGGCAAAATCAAGGCTCACTGCAGCCTCGAACCCCTGGGCTCAAGCAATCCTCAGCCTCAGCCTCACAAGTAGCTGGGACTACAGGCACTTGCCACCACACCCAGCTAACTATTTTATTTTTTGTAGAGACAAGATCTCACTGTGTTTCCCAGGCTGGTCTCAAACTGCTGCCCTCAAGCTATCATCACATCTTGGCCTCCCAAAGTGCTGAGATTACAGGTGTAAGCCACCATGCCTGGCTTCTTAGTGCTATTTTCTATTTGTCTCCTCTGTTCTTTGCTCCCTTTAAATGTTTGAGGAAGAAACATTACCCATCTTACACAAACTCTTCAGAAAATAGAACAGGCCGGGCGTGGTGGCTCATACCTGTATTCCCAGCACTTTGGTAGGCTGAGGTGGGGGATCACTTGAGGTCAAGAGTTTGAGACCAGCCTGGCCAACATTGTGAAACCCCATCTCTACTAAAAATACAAAAATTAGCTAGGCATGGTGGCAGGTGCCTGTAATCCCAGCTTCTCGGGAGGCTGAGGCAGGAGGATCACGCCGTTACACTCCAGCCTGAGCAACAGAGTGAGACCTCGTCTCAACAAAAAGGAAAAGGATAAATACATTCTGACCAAATAAGGTTTATCCCGGGATTGTAGTGTTGATTTAAAACAGAAAAATCAGCCTGGCACAGTAGCTCACACCTGTAATCCCAACACTTTGGGAGGCTGGGGCAGGAAGATCTCTTGAGCCCGGGATTTTGAGACCAGCTTGGGCAACATAGCCAAACTGGTCTTTACTGGGGAAGGGGGGAAATCAGTCTATGTAGTTAACCACATTAACAAACTGGAACATAAAAACCCTATGATCATTTCAACAGATGCAGCAAAAGCAGTTAAGAATAGGCATGATTACATGCATGATTACACATAGGCGTGATTACAAACAAATTCAAACCTAGCAAACTAGGGAAAGGAAACTGACCTTGTTTGATAACAGGGCATCCACAGTCAGGGTTCTATTAGCAGTATACATAATGGTAGAAAACTGTTTTTCCCTCTAAGATCAGGAACTCGAAAAGGATTTCACTCGCACCACATTGACATCATGCTGGAGGTTCTAACCAGGCAAGAAAAATAAATAATGATTAGTGGCCTGGTGGCTCACACCTTTAATTCCAGCACTTTGGGAGGGCAAGGTGGGCAGATCACCTGAGGTCAGGAGTTCGAGACTAGCCTGGCAAAAATGGTGAAACCCCGTCTCTACTAAAAATATTTTAAAAATTAGCTGGGCGTAGTGGTGCACACCTGTAGTCCCAGCTACTCAGGAGTCTGAGCCAGGAGAATGGCTTGAACCCAGGAAGTGGAGGTTGCAGTGAGCCGAGATTGTCCCATTGCACTCCAGCCTGGGTGACGAGCGAAACTCCATCTCAAAAAAAGAAAAGGAAAATAATGATTAGAAAGGAAAAAGCAAAACTTTTATTCACTTTTACGTACGATTGTATACATAAAAGTCTTCGTGGAAAATACATAAAAAGCTACCAGAATTAATGAGTAAATATAGCAAGGTTGCAGGTTGCAATCCCTCTGTATCTGTAGGGAATTGGTTCTGGGATTCCACACTCCAAGCCCACAGATGTCTAAGTCCCAT